TAAGTACACAGGAAAAAAGCAATATCTGTATTTGAAAGGTTTCATATCAAGTAAGTATTTAAAGAAAAAACACACAATCTTTATGCAGAGATTATATTAGTAACCCATCTACAGTGAGAAAGTGATCAGCAACTCATGGGGGCTGCAGTAAAATTCAATAAGTGAAGAAAATGGGAAATCTGTGCAGCAATATTTGATGATTGGCAAGAAAGGGGGCAAGATTGGAGGGTAGAATATCTGTATATTAAATAATCATATGGTGGAGCAGGAAAACTGGAGGGGATTTATAACAACTTTACCCTCAAAATATTACAGTAAAAGCATGTTCTTAAGGGTGCAAAGTCAAGCAGTCTCAGTTAAGCATTGCCAGAACCAAGGATGTCTGGGCTTGTTAATTCAGCCCCCTTGTATCTGTGCCTTACTATATAATCTTTAATGAGAGAATCACACACTGCAGTGTTCATTAACACAGGACCTGTCTCATTCAGGGTGTGTCGACACTGGGGAAAAAAACAAACAAACCACTGCAGCGAGTCTCTGAGCCTGGGGCAGCTGACTCAGGGTCACAGGGGGGAGCTCAGGCTGCAGGGCTAAAGTACCAGTGTAGATGCTTGGGCTGGATCCTGGGGTCTGAGCTCACCCTCGCACCTCCTTGCCAAGTTTCAGACCCCAGGCCAAACCCAAATATTGAAATTGCTATTTTAGCCCCAAAGCCAAGTCAATTCACCTGGGCTTTGAAAGTTGTCATGGGTCTTTATTTGCAGTTTAGACATACCCTAAATCTTTTTAGACTCTGGGAGTCTATGATGGAGCACACATGTCCCTGATCCATCTCTGTGGAATTAAACGGGACCCCCTGGCTTGTCCCAGTGACAGTAATAGGGTTAGATTTGTAAATGGCTAACCACCCCCAAAACAAATATTCTCCCCTCTCCCCTGCATCACCCTCTCTGCTCTGTCTTATTTAGTCAGGGCAAACCACCCTGACGCCCTCAGACAAACCATGTGTGGTGTTAGTTACTTTTCTCTGTCTGTGCCACAAATTGTTCCTTTTCTCTCTCTGTTTGTGATGTTGAAACCTTTAAAATCAAAATCCACTTTCTGGGGCTTGTCTGGAACCTTGTATGGGCTGAGCTGTGACCTGCAGACTCGGAAATAATAAAACACATTCCCCATGAAAGATAAAATCCCTCTGTGACGTTATTGACATAAACTGTGACCGTATAGATCATTGTTGCAACTACTGTTATATATTTGCAGCAAATATTGTACAAAGGTTGTCGTGTGAGGTGTCGAAAGGTTATGATTTGCTGGTTATGTTTATGCTATCTGTATGTGGGTAATGGTATCATTTTTGTAGTTGAATATATGAATATTGGCTATGTACTTGTATCTCAATGTGTTTTGATTCTAAGTAGCCTCAGTGAAGCATTTGATCAGCTTCTTGAGAAAGGACTATTCTCAGTAAGTGCCCAATCAAGAAACACTTAATTGACAATGAACTTTGGGAGACGCCAATCCATATCTGAGCTTTCCTGGGAACGTTCAAACTAACATGTAAACAATGGCGTTGGCCTGTAAAGAACTGAGTCATGCATGGACATATGACTTGCCCATGTGACTCCAAACTCCATTTTGTAGCTGTGATTCTGAACAGGAAAATAAAGGGGTTTCTGCCCACAAGAGAAAGACTATAAAATGCCCTGGAAACCCCTCCATTTTGTCTTCAGCTGGCTCAAGAGATAGCCTCTCCACCCCAAAGAGATGCCTGAAAGAAACTGGAACAAGGACAGTAAATATGGGGGTGTGAGTGATTGCTGGACCCAAACTAGGACGGAGAAAGAAGCTTATTAGAACGTCTCTGAGGATAAGATTTACCTGCATTTAGTTTCTTACTGTATTAGGCTTAGCTTTGCGTGTTTTTATTTTGCTTGGTAATTCACTTTGTTTTGTCTATTATTACTTGGAACCACTTAAATCCTACTTTTTATATTTAATACAATCACTTTTTGCTTATTAATTAACCCAGAGCAAACAGCTGTGCATATCTCTCTATCAGTGTTATCGAGGGCAAACAATTTATGAGTTTATCCTGTATAAGCTTTATACAGAGTAAAATGGATTTATTGGGGTTTGGATCCCATTCGGAACTGGGTATCTGGGTGCTAGAGACAGGAGCACTTCTTAAGCTGCTTTCAGTTAAGCCTGCAGCTTGTGGGGGACGTGGTTCAGACCTGGGTCTGTGTTTGCAGCAGGCTAGCGTGTCTGGCTCAACAAGACAGGGTACTGAAGTCCCAAGCTGCCAGGGAAAATGGGCTCAAAGGTAGTCTCAGCACATCAGGTGGCAGTCCCAAGAGGGTGCTCCATTCAGGTGGTCCATGGATAGTTCCCTCTAAGGTGTACGCCTGGACAGCCACACATGAGAGAATGAAGGGCCACCCACCTAATTAGTGGAGCTGCGCAGGCATGGCTCCACTAATTAGGTGCCTGGACCCTGGAGAAGATGCATATGTAAGGTCAGGTGGTGGCCTTGGAGGGAATAGAGGGTAGGTGGGAGGAGGCAGTGGGGTGAGAAGAGGGGGTGGGGAGAATTTGGGATATGCAGGGCTGCGGCGGCCGGAGAAAAGCGACTTTCCCCAGCTCCAGGACTGCGGCTGCCAGGGAGAGACGGCCCTCCTTCCCAGTGCCAGCTCGGGGGCTGCTGTGGCAATGGAGAGAGGGAGAGACTCCCCTCCTTCACAGCCTCAGCTCGGAGGCTGCCACGGTGGGGGAGAAAGGGCACATCCATCACATTAGAAAGGTAAGACTACTGATATTAAAATATGAGCTGTGTGCTTTTATGTGTAGAACATAGCGCTTTTATCCAAAGTGCTTTACAACAGTTAGCTAACAGTACAAACAACATTTGGAAAGATCATTAAGTGGTCTGCTGAGACCATCAGCAATTTTCAGGTGGTCCGGTGAAAAAGAAGTTTGGGAACCAACCCTTTAATTGATCAGCAACGTAATAACAAAACAACATTAACTGGGATGACTTTAAGTGAGGAATTACTGTATATTGGCTTACAAGGCAGGTGTGGGGGGTGGGACTTGGACCTGTTCTGGGCACCACCAAAAATTATACAAACCTGCCGCCCCTGCCCTGGACCTCCACCCGCCTCCCCCAGCCTCCCTCAACAATGGGTGAGGAGACTTCACACCCTGACCAGCCTCGAAGGTTCCCAGGAAGGGGTTGCCAACTGATATGCCAAGACTACTGCCCCTGCTTTCTTGCCCTCGCAGCTTGGGACTTCAGTGCCCTGCCTGGTTTGAGCCAGACCCGCTAGCCTGCTGCAAACCCAGACCCAGCTCTTAACCACGTCCCCTAACAGCTGCGGGTTTAAACTGAAAGCAGCTTAAGAAGTGTTCTTGTCTTTAACACTCAGATGCCCAACTCCCAATGGGGTCCAAACCCCAAATACATCCATTTTACCGTCTATAAAACTTATACAGGATAAACTCATAAACTGTTTGCCCTCTATAACACTAATAGAGAGGTATGCACAGCTGTTTGCCCCCCCCCCCCCCAGGTATTAATACATACTCTGGGTTAATTAATAAGTAAAAAGTGATTTTATTAAATACAGAAAGTAGAATTTAAGTAGTTCCAACTAATAGTAGACAGAACAAAGTGAATTACCAAGCAAAATAAAATAGAACACGCAAATCTGAGTCTAATATAGTAAGGAAACTGAGTACAGATAAAAACTGCACCCTTAGAGGAATTCCAGTAAGCTTCCTTTTACAGACTAGTCTCCTTCTAGTCTGGGTCCAGCAATCACTCACACCCCCTGTAGTTACTGTCCTCTGTTCCAGTTTCTTTCAGGTATCCTTGGGGGTGGAGAGGCTATCTCTTTAGCCAGCTGAAGACAAAATGGAGGGGTCTCCCACAGGCTTAAATAGACTTTCTCTTGTGGGTGGAGACCCTCTCCGCTCTCCTATGCAAAGAGTCCAGCTCCAAGATGGAGTTTTGGAGTCACATGGGCAAGTCACATGTCCATGCCTGACTCAGTTTTTACAAGCAGCAGCCATTGCTTACATGCTACCTTGAACGTCCTCAGGTAGACTTTTTATGTGGATTGGAGCCTTCCAAGATCCTTTAAGTGTTTCTTGATTGGGCACTTAATTTGCACATTCCTTTCTCAAGAAGCTGATCAGATGCTCTACTAAGGCTGCTTAGAAATCTAGCAAGTATGCAGCCAATATTCATAACTTCAAGTACAAAAATGATACATGCATACAAATAGGAGGAATGTAATCAGTAGATCATAACCTTTACAGAGATGTTACGTGGCATATGTAGCATAAAACATATTCCAGTTATGTCATATATACATTCATAAGCATATTTCCATAAAGCCTCACGGTGTACACCATCACAGGGGTGTTGTTCTGAAATGTCCAGCCTTGTCCTGGCTTGTCCTGGCTGCCACTAATTTTTCCCCGTGGGTGCTCCAGCCTCGGTACACCCACAGAGTCGGCGCCTATGGCTGTGTCTGCTAAACTGCAAATCGTTTAGTTCCAGCCCCCTCTGGTGCAATTGATGGGGTTGCTCCAACCCTGGTTAGCTTGATGGGTCTGTGTAAGCGAGATGTAAATACATTCTCATGGTCTTTCAAAGTCCTATGACAGTAACTCTGGGGAAAGGCGGGGAGGGAAATTACATTCCTTTGTCTAGGGTGGCGTACCCTGAGTAACGTGTCCCCAGCTGATCCGGGCTCTAGGTAACCTCTCTAGGACCAAGAAGATCCAACATCCCCTTGCCCTTGATGATATTGGGGACTCTCTGCACCAATCCCCAGTCTCCATATAAATAACTCTTTCCCCCACTCCCAGGAATCTTCAGGTCTCCTTTCTGCTCACGGAGATGGTGGCTTCTATGTACGACGCCCCTTTCATGCTGAAAGAAGCTGCCCGTGCCCAGGAGACTTGGGGGCCCAGGAGGCAGGAACTAGGGCAGGGGGGCTCCCGTGCAATCCCTTGCTCGCTAGGACCCAGGAGCAGCTGAGATGCGGCTCTGGGTGCGATCGCTGGGGTCACTCAGTCCCGGCACCGGGAAGTGAATTGCTCTGGTTGCAGTGACTGGGGCGCTCTGGGGAGCCCACCCTCCTTGCAAGATCCTTGAGCCCCAGCGGCTGCTGCTGGGGACCTCGGAGCCCTGGCTGCAGCCGGGAGAGGTGAATCTCGAGTAGTAACATTCCCGCTGCTCCCAGGAACCTCTCTCAGTGCAGAGACCCCAGCCTGGCCAGGACCCCCCTTCCCGGGCCCCAGCCCCTGCTCCCAGGGAGGGCACCGCTTGGAGGGAAGGTAAGAGAGACCTGCCCATCCCCACAGGAAGCGATGCCTCCCGGTTCCACCCTGGCTGCCGGGGGAGAGTTTGGCCCCAGGCTGCTCCCAGTGGAGCTGGCTGCGATTCCTGCCCCGTGCCCAGGAAAGCTGCCGCCAGCTCCCATTGTCTGCAGGGCGGGTGAAGCCAGCGCGCGCCGTGGGGAGACCGGGGACAGCGACACCTGGGGGGACAGAGCGGCGTGGGAGCCAGAAGGGGGCTAAAGAGGGGTAGGGGTGGGTGGACAGGTGGGATTTAGAGGTGAATAGGGATAGGGATATGGGAGCAGGAAGGGGGCTGAAGAGGGATGTGTGAGGGGGCAGGAGGGGGGACAGGGATGCAGGGGGCGGGATGGGAATGTGGGGACGCTGAAGGGAGGCTGAGGGAACACACAGGAATCGGGGAAGGGGGCGGATTCTGGGGCTCGGGGGAACAGAGCTGGAACAGAGGGAAATTCTGGGGGGATAAAGAGAAGGAAAAGGGGGATGTGGGAAGACTGAAGGGAGAATATGAGAGCAAGAGGAGACTGGCTGTGGAAGGAAGAGCAGAGGGTCAGAGAAGGGAGAGGGATGGTGAGAGATACAATGGCAGCTCCCCTAGTCCATGGGGTGGGTGGGGGGCTGCCCTGCCCAGCAGCTGGTGTGGAATCTTTCCCCCCAGAAATGAATGGTTAAACAAGCAGTGGGGGGTGGAGAGGGGATTTACCCCTAAGGGCTCAACATTTATAAGGGAAATTCGCTCCCCCCACATACACCCTGCTCCCAATTTATTTTTGGATATTTTTAAGACAGTCTCATTATTTAGGGGTCTGATTCCTGTATGTTAAATGCTTGGAGTTCACAGGACTCAGCAGCATCCTACTCTGATTTCTGTGCAGGATTTTGGGTCAAACCAGAGTCGCTGCTAGTGACAGCAGGCAAGGAATCCAACTGGTATTTATTTTGGTTTGGTTCAGATTCAGTTCCATTCAATATATTGGGTTTCATTTCTGGTTCTAGCCACCCAAAGAAACAAAAATAAAAGTTCAGTTACCAGTTTAAATCTTATTTCAATGTTAGTGGAGGTTAATTAAAAAAAGAGAGCTGCAACTTAAAATGGAAACTGTTTTGATTTTTGATAATTTATTTATTTTTTAACTACATGAATTTTCCTGGATTTTTTTGTTGTCAAATAAATACGATTTTTTAAAAATGAACAATTTGGCTGAACAACCGAAAATAATATCTTTCAACATTTACTTTGCCATATTGGACCTCTGCAGTGAAAGGATACATGTGAGGCCTGGAAATTTTCTTTCAACACTCACTTGTGTTGCTGGAACTGCCAGTACATTTGTTGCTAGTTGATTCAGCTTGGAAAAGACATTTTTTGGATGTTCCCAGTAGTTTGTTCTTATTGAGAAATGGCTCGTCTGCAAATGAATCAAGAATTGGCCCAATCCTTTTCTGGGCTTTCCTTCATCCAGATATCACTTCCTTTTTAGAGATTTCAAAAGCTTTCAGAAGAAGTTCCAATGTATCTTTCAATTTCAAACGTCTCTGACAGATTCTATAACATCATTACTTCTGACTGAAGCTTTTCCATCTTCTTCCATGTTTTGGTGTAATGAAATTTTGCCTTGACTTTGTCCTCCTCTGATAGTGGGGGGTGGAGGTGGGCATCAGACAGTGCCGGGGGG